AGGTTCCAGGAAGGTTCAAAGGAAAGGTCAATGAGAAATCAAGTGCTGATGGAAAAATTCAAGGAAAATATGGGGAGCATTGCAAGGCAACCAGTGTTATGAGAGAAGTTAAGGAAAACAGCAAGCTGCAAGCATATAGAAGCAGGAAGAAACACACTGTTTGAAGGGGAGCAGGATGCCTAGCAGCCTAGTGTGATTAGAACTGAAGCTTCCTTTGAGGGAGAAGAGGCATAGCATATCACTGCAGGCTGAGTATGAGCTCCAAGGGCTGTTTTATCCCATACTCCTCAGATGCTTGAACTCAGAGTTTTGAAAGAGAGACTGTTGCTTCAAAACTGAAGCCCAGAATTCAGTCCTTAGCCTTTCATAAGTTGAGGCCTAATTAAAACCATCTGAAATATCTCCCTTAACTGCTTTTTTCCAAACTTCAATTTCCCTACAATCAAACTTCTTCACAGTGGCAAGTTTGAATACATTGAATCTTAACGAGTACCAGGTCATCCTGGAGACTACCTTTCTAGGGTTCCAACTCCTCCCTTCTCAAGACTTCCAATGATACTTCATTGATCCAGATACTCCCCTGGACCCATCAGCTCCTGTGGCTTAAAGTCAGGGCTCAGGTAGTTGAGGGTCTGCCAGAACCAGAAGAGCGACAGGCTACTGTTTTTCTAGTATCATCATTTTTATCTCCTACAAAAGAAAGGGAGGGAGGACAAAGGAAGGAAGGAAGGAAGAAAAATTTCTTTGGCCTCTTCCTTACAGTCAAGTTGTAAATTAGCATCTTATGAAATGACCTATAATGAGGTTTTTCTCCTCTGCTGCCTTGGCTCTGCTGTGGGCTTGGACAATGGAGATCCTTGGGTGTTACAACTGTGTGCAAAGTAAAAGTTTTTAAAAGGACTGAGGGAGTGGGGAGAGAAAGGTCTAAATAAGCTTTCTTGGGCTTCCCGATGCAGATAGCACCTAATCCAAGACAGGCTAGAAAGAACAGTGCTTACGTGCACAGACTTCAGTCATACAGAGCTGAGTTAGAACTTTAGGCTAGTTATGTATTTGTCCATGGAATGTAATAGTAATAATAGGTTGACCAAATAGGGATGTGAGGTTTAAATGAAATAAAGCATGTAAAGTACTAATGCCTGGCCCATAATAAGCTCTCAAAAAAATAATTACAATTATTATCTTATGATCCTGTGCGTTTTCTTTGCACACTCTGGTCCCTTACTGTTGTGTTCCAGATAGGTGAGTTTACCAAATAGCTGAGTTAGAGACAGATAAGGTTATTATTTGCACTTAGATTCCATCCATCCATTCATTCAATCATTCATTCGCCTCCTCCCCCACCAAAAAAATAAAAAGGTATTTCTCGCTTTTATACTGCATAGAACATCTTGTACTAAATATCGTAGGGAGGAGTTTAAAAACAGGAACGATGATCTCTGCTCTGGGGAACTGACAGTCTATTTGAGGAGACCCAGCCAACATACCAATTAGCTATGAGATTACAGCATAACGGATCAGAGTTCAAGTTCAGAGAATCACCTGGGAAGAGGGATGTTCAGTGGTAAAATTTAATTAAATGCTTTGTCAGGAAGTCCCTTTTTCAATCTGTGATATCATGAGCCCGCCAATAAAGGACATAAATTTTCGCCTATTTCCCATTCTGGGGCTTGTGCCGTGAGGATTGTCCACTTTCCTAAACACCTTTTCACACCACTGACCCCAAACTGGATTCTGTGCCTGAAGGGAACAAACAGTAGAGACCTTATATCTGAAGATAGAAAAGTGGTCTGATAGCTCACAGCAAAAATGAGAATTAAGAACTTGGTAACCCTGACCTTTATTCTCTCTTTCAGTGGCTCCCTCTACCTTCTCTCCCATACCCAGTTCCCCTTTGTGCCTATGACAACACTCCTCCTTCTCCCACTTGAGTCTTTCTACCTATGTTCTTTTTAAATGCAAAGGTAGAAAGAGAAGAAAGGGTCAAGAAATCTAGGCAGTGGCTGTCTGTCCCTGCATTGAACATCCCTAAGGAAAAATCCCAAGGCCCATCATTGCCCTTTGTGTGTTTGTTCAAGATCTGAAACCCTTTTTGTTTTGCTTTCAGACAGAAAAGGAGAGAAAGGGTTGTCCCACCAAGGTGTCTAAAAGACTGAAGAGTGCGTTTCAGGGATCTGTTAATGGAAATTGTTTTCCCAGCTTGAAAATAGCCACATTTAAACTCACAATGTGGGGTAAGCGAAATCATAAATATGAACTCCTTTTCAGGCAGCAAACAGCAAGCGTTTGGAGTCTTTCTCCTTTGCCTTTGGGGATCCATATGCCACAGTCTAGTTAGCTGCCCAGTGACTGACAAACATAAATAAAAGGTAATAGTTGTAGTAAACAGAGTTCCTATGAGTCAAAAACTGTTTTCCAGGGAGGAATCAACATGCTTCTTATTATGCTAGAGTCACCAAATAGCCAAAGTTTAGCTCTTATAAAAAACACAGGCAATAAA